CGACAGACCTCTGTGCGCTTTCCCCCCGGGACTCCGGGTTCCAGAGCAGCCGCAACGGGGCTGACAGGCGTGGGAGAGTCGCGCTGAGGAGCAGGGCAGGGCAGCAGTGAACCCCACCCCTGCGGTGGCTGCTCAAGCGCTGCCCGGCTGGTCCAGGTCTCCGGGCCGGGGAACGGCTCAGCAGCCTGGCAGGGCAGGGGCAGAACTCCATCTGACGCAACTGGGCTTGCCTGCTGCCAAAGAGTGCCCAGAGAACGGAGGGCAGGGGGTGTATCTGTGCCAACCAATGGGTGCCAACCTGATCCCATCTTAGTGATGACCTGGGTTAGTCCTGGCCAGATGTTTTTCCTTGGCTGGGTGGAAGGGGCGAAACCCTCTTGAGCTCCCTACAGTCAATGGATGCAACTGGTTCTGTCTCTGTTTTGAGACGTCCCAGGGCACTACCAGAATCACGCTCCTGAAATTTGATGGCAGAACTGGAGTTTTCAGTTATGTGGTTCATTTCCTTTTTTAAAATGTTTTGATGCTTAAAATATTTTCTGTAAGGAAGATGGGCAATCCTCCAAAATAAATAATAAAAAAGAGGCTAAATTTTTTCCCACCTGCTCCAGCGCCTCGCTCATCAGCTGTGCCGTTCCAGCCTTGGGGGCTGCTCCTGAAAGGATTAATTAAAAAATAATAATAAAAGTGTAACCCCTTGAAGAAAAAAAATCCCTCTCCACTAATCTGTGAGGTTGAGCAGAAGTGCTCTTTGGCTCTTTGGGGACCCTTGTAGATGGAGGGTGTACAAGGCCCCCTTCTCTCTCTCTTTTCAAAACCTGAGCCACTCCCAGCCCAGATGGTCCAACTCTTGGCCTCCTTGACCGTATGGCTTCTGGTTCTGCTGACCCATTTATTCCTCCTGCCTGGCAGGTATATTGTGATGGGGAAGCGCAGGTGGACTGGCATGGTGCTTTATCTGAGGAACCAGAAGGTTATCTATGCCTCTTGCAGGTGAGGAAAGTAAGAAACACATCTTTCTTGGAGGCTGCTTAATAGTCCAGATGCCTTCACTCGTAGCGTGATTTGGTCTTCCAGTGAGATGCTCTCCCTAAGCACAAGCCTGAATCGCTTTATTCAGATTCAGGCAGGGCCACAAAGAGGGAGGGAGAGAGAAGCCCCAGCGCTCAACAGCCACCAGCAAAGCCTTCAGATCAGTGTCTGCAACTAGGGTGACTATGTGCCCAGTTGTTGGGGCATCACTCAAGCTTGTGTCTTGTCAGACAGCATCTTCCTTGGTCATCATCTCACCTTGGTGTGAGAGGGCGGGGCAGCGCTTGCTTGACCCGGCATGCAGGGGTAGGAAGGACAGGCAGACCATTGTTTCAGCGCTGCCTCCTCGCCTTTTCTAGGAAACGATCCAGGAAATGTTTCCTGATGGCAGATGTATGGACAGGAAAGAGAGACCTCTGGTGAAAATGTGCTTGGGGTAAAAAAGCAGTTAGATGAGCTTGTTGTTGTTTTAAATTGGAGTTGGATAAACCAGCATGGCTGGTGCAATTCCATTTCCTTTGATTTCAGAAGCCCCTTGCAACTGGAACGACTTTTCTGTTCCTAGGTTTGCAGCTTTTTCAGGACGTGGAAATTTGTCTTCCAAGAAGATAGACTCCAGTCACCTTGCTATGAAAAAGCTTTGTCACAGCAAGAGCCGTTCAACCGTGCGACCAGTTCCTTAGGGAGATGTCCCCTTTGCTGGAGGTCTTCAGAAAGAAGCTGGGCACTGTTGGGATGGTTTAAACTGGGGTCTTGCGCAAGCAAGAGTCGGGCTTAAGGGCCTTCACGCTCCGTGGCCTGGTGGTCTTGACTGAAGAGAATCAGCCCTCTAGCGATCCCCAGAGGCTGGTGGGTCTGGGTGTATGTGTGAATCCCAGGTCTCAGAGAATCCTGCAAATACTTCTGTTCATCTGTACAACGGCCCTCCCCGGAGCACTGTTCAGGTGAAAGGGGGCTGTGTGGACGTGGAGTCCTGCGCCCGGTGGGTTCTGAGTCACTGCCCTGTTTGGACAGCCCTGCCAGCTCTGAGTTATGAGTCAGGCTCCAAAAATAGTGTCAATAAATGGCTTGCTAAAAAGAGTAGTTTGTAATGGGTTGTCTTAGTGGTTTTTGAGTGTTTTAGAAGAGTCAGAGATTCTTCACTATCAGCAATCAGCTGAGGCTGAGAAGGTTTCTTGGATGATTTGAGGACTTTGGAAGGAAACTGAGAAATAGGAATGATTTCAAATGAGGCTAGGAAGTTGCCAAGGAAAGCTTTGAGAACCAGAATCGTGGGAGCTTTTCAAGTTGTGTTTCATGACAAAGCTGCATGAGGTGGGCAGGTTGTTTCCACTGAAGTTTGCAGGGTTCACACTGAACTGACTTTCTCTCTGGGCCATGACTCAGTTTTGCACCATTGTCATGAGGTACGCAGCGCATCTGTGCACCTCCTCACAGAGTGTTTTTGAAAGGATGTTGCCAACTTCGTCCCACTCAGTCAACAGAAGAGGCCTCTTCAGTTGGGTTACTACGGAGACTCTGGGATGGTTGTGTGAGCAAGTTGTCATGAGTGCAGTTAGGTGGCCACAGTGGGAGTAAACCTGTTTTGGAGCCAAAGAGATCTTCTGGGTCCTTGAGGTCTTCAGAGCCAACCTGAAGAGAACTTAAGCTGCAGGTGGATTGGTGGGTCTAACCTCAGGTGTTGTGTGGCAGTTGGTTACAGCAGGCAGCAACTTTAGGATGTTGTCAAAGGAGAAAACAAGTATTCCTTTTATTGCTGAGGCCACTGCTTAGAGACTTTGGTTCAAGGGGAAAACAACAAGTTCCTAAACATAAGGTTCTGTTGTTCTTAGGGGTAGTTAATGTGTAATTGGATAAATTCATATTCTCAGAAGTCATCTAGTCCAGCCAACTACCCAGTGCAGGGTCTGCTGAAGCAAGTTGGACAGATAAGCTAGCTCTCCAGTTTCTGAAGAACTCCTATGAAGGGGAAGCAATTTATGCCACCAGTTGACAGCTCTTACTATCAGAAAATTCCTTCTGCTGTAATATCTAAGCTGAATCTACTTTCTGTTGGCTCTGCTCCTGCCCCCTGGAGTGACAGAGAACAGGGCCACACCCTATATGACAATTCTTTAGATCTGTGAAGTCTGCTATCATATCTCCTCTCAAGTCTTCTTTTCTGCAAGCTAAAAATCTGTTAAACTGTTCCTTACAGCAGGGTTCCTCAACCTCAGCAACTTTAAGATGGGTGGACTTCAACTGGTGGGCTGGCTGGGGAATTCGGGGAGTTGATGTCCACCCATCTTAAAGTCACTGAGGTTGAGGAACCCTGCCTTACAGGACTTGTTTTCCAGACCCTCTCACCATCTTGGTAGCCCTCTTCTGAACTTGCTCTGGTTCATTGATGTCCATGTTAGACTGTGGTACTCAGAAGTGGGCACTTTAAGTAGAGTATGACCAAGGCAGAGTTGAGTGAACAGTTATCTCCCATGATCTCAACTCTGTGCTTCTCTTAAATACATCTCCAAATAACATTTGCTTTTTTAGCAAGTGCACCCCACAATTGCCTCACGTTCAACTTGTTATCCACTAGAATATCCAGATTCCTTTCACATATACTATTGCTGCCAGTCCCATCTGTACTTGCGTTTTTCATTTTTTCTTCCCAAAGCAGGTTTTCCCCACCTATTTAATTTAATCTTGTTCATTCTGGCCCATTACTCAAGTCCATCTAGATCTCTTTGAATTTTCTTTTTTTCTTTTAAACTTAGTTATTTATCCTGGTTTTCTGTCATCTTCGGATTTGATGACTGTCCCTCTGCAGCTTTTCATCCAGGTCATTAATAAAAATGTTGAACAAGACAGAGTTGTATGGCTCTCCAGTACAGTAGATCCATCCTTCCAAACTGTTGTGGAACCATTGATGAGTACTGTCTGGGTGTGTTCATTCATCCAATTATGAATCCATCTAACAGTTGAGAGACTTTGTGGAATGCTTTGCTCAGGACAAGATGTACTATGTCCACAGCTTTTCTCCAATCTACTAAGCTAGTAACTCTATCCAAAAAAAGGAGATACAGTTAGTCTGGCATGATTTGTTTATGACAAACCCATGCTGGCTCTTGTTAATTGTTGCTTTCCTATCCAAAGCCTCACAAACATGATATTTAATTATCTGCTCGAAGACCTTGCCCAAGTTAGTTATCAAGCTGACAGTCTATGGGTCCTCCTTCTTTCCTTTCTTGAAGATAGGGACATTTGATCTCCTCCAGTAATCTGGGATCATACACGTTCCCAGGTGTTGGCAGTTCTGCAGTTTCCTCTGCTAGTTCCTTCCTTCCTGTCAATTGAATTGATCTTTAATACTGAACACTAAGTACAAATATTTTCAGTGTTTTTCTACGGGGAGTGGGAACAGAAAGGATTCTTCCCAAAGAGAAGGGCAGAAGTTGCTTGCTTGCTTTTCCATAGAGATCTGAGACTGAGAAAAGAAAAGTCAAAATGTAGGGAAGAGGTTGAAGTGGCCTTCAACCTATCTGTCCTTAGATTTCTCTATGCCTTCCTTCTGAGACTTTGGCACTTCCAGTTGGGGGTACAGATTTGGTAAGGAAATGCAATGCACCTACCCTCCTGATTCAGTGATCCTGCAAGTGGTGGCTTCTGAAAGCAATCCTTTCCTGTGGTTTCCAGCATTCGTGGAACAGCTGTAATGTGGCAGCAGATGCTGCTGCTGCCTGAACAGCTTGGTGTTGCTTTCTTACGCTGAGTGGAGCATCTGTGCTCTCATTGGAGGGGAGCACTAGCTCGCCCGCCTCCCAGCTCCTGTTTCCCTGCTGGCTTTGTGGGGAAAGGAGTCCAAATATAGTGATCCAGACAGACCAACATCAGTAGCTGAAGCAGACAAATGCACGTGTGGTAGGATTGCCGTAATTTGCTTATCTTCCTTTTGTTTCTTTGAAGTAGGTGAAGAAGTGTTTGGGTATGGTCACCAGGGGGTGGACAAGGCAGTCAAGAACTGGACAGCAGTCAAGCCCCACCAGGCTGAGAGATCTTTGTGTTCAACGTCTGGGAAAAAGGAGTAGGGTTGATTGGCTGATGGCTCCCTGCATATAAATACCCGTTGTCCTCTTGACATCCAGTTTTGAAAAGGATCTGACATGACCTGAACAGCCTGAAACAGTATTGAATGGCTTTGAATTGGAATTAGAAGATTTGGGGACTGGGGGTTCCTGAAAGTCCCTTTGTGTCAGCAAATATTCTAGCGGTAGTAGGAGAAATTGGGATGAAAGTTGCTGTGAGTGTGTTTTTTTGGAGCTTTTGAAATTGCTTTCAAAAGAGATGCAAACTTACTGGATGGGCAGATATTACTGGGAGTAGATGGTATCTTGAGTGACAACCAGCACCTTGAATTGCACTGGGAACCCACCTGGGTGAGTAGTGGACTGTCAAATAGAATGGTCACTTGGGTGAATCAAGATGCATCCATAATTATTCAAACCATTGTGTTCTGGGCCAGTTGTAGCTTTTGAGCAGTGTTCAAGGGCAGTCCCCTGTTGAACACATTGCAGTAGTCCAGCCAAGAGGTGACCAAGATATGAGTGACTGTGAGCAAAGGCCTCCCAATCCAGAAACAGCTGCAACTGATGCCAAGAGCCCTCCTGGCCATGGCTGAAGGTCCTGGAAGACCCCAAGATTGCAAGCCAGTTCTATATGGCGGACCTCAGGATTGGAGGGGAGGGGTGGCAGGTAACTTTGTACTTGCTTTGTAATTAGCTCTGTTCTCCCCTGCAGCAGTTTTGTGAAGGGGCAAGCCCGTTCTTGCAGTAATTTAGCAGGTCAAAAAAAGGGATTGGGGGCCCTCTTTCTGAGGGAGATGCTGGGGACTGAAGCAGGTGTGCAGGATACAGGTCCTGTTACTGACCTGCAGGGCAGGAAAGTAAATGTTCAGTGTTAAGAAGACTTTGCAGGGTTCCTCCCCATCCTTTCCCATTTTCTACCTACAAGCATGGTTAATATGCTGTTTCATGGAACTATCTTTGTTTGAATCCTGTTTATGGAAGGACGCAGAATGTAGGTCACACTTGTACAGCAGAGTGCCCACGTGGAAAAGCAAAACCCCAGGAAAGGCTGGAGACACCCCAGATCAGTGGGGTAGCAAGGCAGAGGTGGGGTGTACCCTGAGGTGTGCAGAGCAGGCTTCGTATAAATTATTCGTATAATTTTTGCTGGGGACAAAATCTTCTTACCGCCTCTAGTTCTGCTGCGGCTGAAACTCCCTTCTCAGGGAAGTGAGCATTCAAGGGTTAATTATACAAATGCAGGGAAGCAGGTTTAATTGCTGTTTTAACGGTTCATGTAAAATATTATTTTACCCTGCTGACAGGGTTTTCTGCTGCTCTGTAATATTTTTGGATGTGTTTGTGCATTTTAGCTTATGATTTTATTGGTTGTAATATGTTGTTAAATATTTTAAAAATGGTAAGATGCCTTGAAAGGGAATCATTCCGAAAAGCAGCTGAGTGGTTAGTCTGGATCTGGAACAGAAGAAGACATTTGGTGTCTTCCCAGTGTTTGGGACTTCAACTCCCATCAACCCCAAACAGCCTAGACCCGGTTGGGGCGATGGGAATTGTAATCCCGAGTATCAAGAGGCACCGATTGCCCAGCCTTGTTTTAGACTCTTAACACACCGATAACTGCAGCTTCCTTTAAAAAAAGCAGCAGCAAATCCTTATGCCTTTGAAGTGGATGCGAATTACTTTAACTTGAAGAAGGAGGAAAAAATGCAGGGAACTGTAATCAAAATACCGTGTTTATCGGTGTATAACACGCACTTTTCCCCTTAAAATTTGGGGCTGAAATCCTAGCTGCGTGTTATACGGCGATACTCAAGCGGCAGGGCTGGGAGAGCGGAGCCTTCGTTGAGCCAGGGCTGTAACCGGGGCAGCTCCGCAGAGCGGTTTTCTTCGTCCAAAGAGGTGCTTTTCCTTTCATGTTACGGATTTACCTTATAAGTGGTGTAAATATTAATAAACAAAAAGTTCAGAGCTCCCTTCCAAGTCGTTTATTTTAAATTTAAGTTTTTTTACTCAAACGTCCTTCTTAAAATTAAGGTGCGTGTTATACACCTGGGTGTGTTATACGCCGATAAATATGGTAACCGAAAGACATTTAAATCAGTTGCTTGGGACTTCTTTGTCTCTCTTTTAGAAAGAGGGATCGTTTGAAGAGTCTGCCTGTTTCTCGAAAGAAACTTGAATCAACGTGGTAATCAGGGGTGTCTGCAGGGTGTGGTCAACAAAGTCAAGATGGCGGCCACACCAGTGCGGTTGGAGCTTTGCCTGTTTTTTATGGGCATCGCAGAGCTTCAATCACCGTGTTGTGGCCTCCATCCTGACTTTGTTGACCCCTTCCAGACACTCCTTCTATCTTCCAAGTTCTGGGAGATTCTTCTGCATCTTACCAAGGAGTTTTTCCATCTCTCCCCTTCTTGCCTCTTACCCACTTGTTGGGTATGTCTGTTATTTTTGTTCCTTGTCTGTATGTTGTGCCTGGATATCATCTTGGGTTGGGCTGGGTTGCGTTTTATGTTATTATCTGTAAACCTCCCAGAGTCTGTTGGAGTCGGGCAGTGTCTGAATGGAATTAAATAAATGCTTAATCTTCGGGAGACGAGGCCGTTGGACTGAAGGGGAAAGGCTTAACTCTGCTTTCTCTCTGCTGCAACCCTCAATCTTGGGAATTTCGTTGTGCCAGCCAGTGGCTGAAGAGGGCAGTCAGCAAAGCATATTTCCTGTTTCAATGGGGGGGATCCATCTTTTTGCCAGTTGCATGGCTGATTCAACAGCCCAGGGAGGGCTTGAGAGTCAAAAAAAAGGGAGGGGTCTTGGGGGGTCCTAGGTTGCTACCTGAGACATAGAGACAATTGTAGACCTAAAGAAGGAGCAATGGACTCTCCCCTCCTTCTCCCCAGGAGAGTCCCATGTCTAGCCTCCTCCCCTCTTTCACCCCCTTTCCTTCCTTTCTCTTCCTCATCTAATCCAATTTCCCTTTTCTCTACTTTCTCTGCCCCCATTCTGCCCTCACCCCCCCATTGCCCACCCCAGTATTTTGAACTCTTCCAAATAGGAGTGTATACCACTTTATTTTACTGGGGAATTATTTTTCTGGTCATGACTGATAAATGGGGTCAATTAGTCAAAGGGAAATGGATTAAATTGTGGAACAAGATATAATGAGAATGAAGATGCAAAATTGATGACAGCCTTGAGCTGCCCGTGGTGTGCTTTTATATTGGTGCTCTGTCAATTTTTGCACTTCACCTAGGGGCCAAGTTGAAATTTTTAGGAGTGTGCATTTGAAAGTGCTCGTACTAAAAGCCCTTCCATCCATCTGTTTTGTGTCTTCTTCCTGCCTGGTCACAGCTATTGCAAATGTGTTTATTTATGATCATTAGCCTGCAATCATAGGGTGGACTCATGCTCAGTTTGCAGTCAAGTAGTATTCCTAGATAATGTTCTCAAGTACTGTTACCAAACCAAGGACTTCCCCCTCCTAATCCTATAAATTTGATTTTTGTTTCATTAAATTTCCTTCTGTTACTTCAAGTTTTCTTTCTCCAACCAATCAAGAATCTTACATCTGTGTCCTAGGATGTCAGCTATTCCACCCAGTTTATTTCTTCTGCATATTTGAAAAAGCATTTCCTCCGCTTCTTGGATGAAGTCATTAGCAAAAATTTTGAAATGAAGTATGTCCAGAACTGAATGTTGTAAAATCCCAGTTCCGTTTTAATGATAAACTCTTAACGAGCAGTCTTTGAATATGGTTTTCAAGCCACTGATGTGTCCATTTAATTGCCATGCCATCCAACCCAGAGTCCTAGCTTTCTAATCAGAATGCCATAGGAGGTTCTCTGTAATATGCTTTGCTTAAATCAAGATATGTTATGTCTACAGCATTTCTACAGTCAGCTGAGGAATTAAAGATAAAGACTGCTTCATGTCGAATTAAATAAGTTCATTGTGTTTTCCTGGCAATAGTATGGATAGTAAGGATTTGCCTTCTACTGGGATATTTGTTTGATTTGAGGGATCAGCCAAAGTAATGGTTAATTTGTTAATTTGGCAAGACCTGTTTTTGATAAATCTATAAATCTGGTGATTACTGTATTATTTTCAAGGAATTTAAAGCTTTATGCTTTGCTCTGGAATCTTCTGGAAATCAGTGCTGGTCCCTGCCGCTCCCACCCCCTTTTGAAGATGGGGCAGATTCTGTCCTCCTTCAGTCGTGTGGGACTTTACTCATCTTCATCAAAACGCGTTCCTTTAATATCCTAGGATGTAATTAATCTGTGTCTGGAAATTCAGACTCATTCAGTGTAAACAGATATTCTTGGATCATGTGTCTGTCAATCTTGGGCTTCCCAGCTACCTGCTGGAAGACATACCTTCTTGCTGGAGAAGACTGAGATGAAATAGAAGTGGAAAAATTCTGTCATTTCTTTGTCATCTGTTACCATTTTGCCATCTTCTCTGAGCATTGTACCGAACCTTTTCTCTTCCCATATTGGAAGAAGCCCATCCTTTTTCCTTCATTTCTTTTGCCAGCTTCATCTCATTCTCAGCTTTAACTTTCCTGGCACTTCCTCAATGGTTCTGGGCTACCTGTCTGTACTCTTCTTGGTGACCTGTTCCTCTTTCCACCTCCCACGGGTGTCCTCTTTTATTTTCAGATCTTCACACCGGCTTCCTCTCTGTATGTCAGCTTCTCCTACAGTGGGAAGATCTATCACCCAGCAACTTTGTGCAGCCTTTGACTGACAGCTGAACTTCCTATGAAAGCTTGTGGGCAGGGTCTGCCCACTGTTGCCGCATGGTGGCACAGGCAATTCATTGACTGTATTCATAAACTGA